AAGAGATTAGAAAAACTACCTGTTGAGAGTGACAAGGAGACAGATGCGCAAACACAGCAGCTGGGATGGAGGAGCATTTATTAATAAAAAGAGACGTTCATACAGTGCTGAAGGCTAGCAAGAGATGCACTCCCATGGAGTGGGTGTGAGTTTCCCATGGAATTAAATTAAGTTCCATTTTATCCTGTTTATTATTTAATTACAAGGCAGGGTAGTGTTGGAGCCCTTCATTTTTTAGTGTTCAGCTTTGTGTCATGAGGTATGATATGGAAAGCAGAGTCCTGGATTTCAGGACACAGTGACACTACTGTGTGTTTATTGAAAGGATATATATTATTGCATCATGTTGTTTCTTGACTAATGCTCAGGAGATGAAAATAAGGAAGGCAGAGAAAGGACTTTTCAGTAAGGTGGACAGACAATGTAATCAGAATGGTATTTGTCCTGGGGGCTGCTTTCAAATATCTCTGCTCTCATTTTCCTTTCCTAGGATTAGGCTGTGCCTTGATCCAGATTTACTGCCAGTGCTAGATCTGAAATGACGGCTGCAGCAAGGCCTAAATTAAGCTCTTAATGATAAATGCATTAGGGAAAAAAAGAGGGAATTGGTTATCTGGGCTGTGCAAGAGAAACAGGAGAACTTGACCTAGGCCTCTAAAGATTGACAATAGATGATAGATGGCATGTGGCATGATAATGATGTTTTACATAAGCATTAAAAGTCAGGATGATTATTCTGAGACTTCATCAGTATATTTTTGAATCTCTGAATTTTCTTACGGAAAATGTTGCAAAATGTCAGCGTTCTTTGGTTGGGTTTCTGATTAAATTTAGTATCTGCAGCTTCATTTAAAGCAACTAAGGAGTCTTGCCTATGAACTTTCCACTACTACTACAAGTACTTTAGCAAGATAATCTTTGCATTAATTTTTCATGTGTTTGAGCTTAGAAGGTTATTGAAAGGACTGACTACCTTCTAGTTTATTTCCTCGGTATGCAGGACAGCCTGTTATACTTTAGTGTGTGCACTGTGTGTGCATTAGAGTTGTAGATAGATCTATCTACAGTGCAAGTCTGGCAGAATGGAGTTCTTGTTTCTCACTGATGGTTTTAGGTACAAGGAGAATGCAAAGATTAATAACAGGCTGCTACAATAGACAATGTGATATGTATCCGGACACTCAGGTTCGGTGATCCATAATGCTCCCTTCAATCACAAAACAATGATGCAGTCTTGGTGCTTTCTCAGCACCTGATTTAGGGGCCTGCCTAAAAGAAAGGTTTTCCAAAGATTGAGTCAGGCTAGACTGAGACAACTCAACAGTAGGACAATGTGGTGGAAGGGACATATTTTTCCAGAGGAAATCTCCTTGGTTATTAAGGTTAGCAGCTTTGGAGGTACTTTCTGTTTGGGAGTGATGGGAGGGTGCAGACTCCTAAGGTAGAGATGGGTGCAGAGGCAACTAGAATAATCGATTTGAATGTTGTTTGTCTTGCAATTTGCTGTTATTTTGATGCAGACCATGTGATAGCTGCCTATGTTTTGTTTGATCTCAGTATTGAAGATATTCTGGGGGATTACTTTTAGTGTGGTGCAGCTCTCTGCTTCCTCTACTGTGCTAGCTTTCTGTTTCCAAACACAACAGAAAGTCATGGCTAGTCAGCAAAGCTGAGGCTACCTTGCAGGCTGTCTCTCCCTTTTTTTACCCTCTTGAAAGAATATCTGGGACTCTTCTTCCAACAGTGCTTTGATTTTTAGCTCAGGAGGAATGGGAGCAGGATGTTTCTGTGAATCAGTCCTAACCCCTGTTGGTCTGACAAAGCAAAACCCAAGTTTTTTGACCTTGTTGGCAAGTCTTTTCTGTTTATTCATGAATTTTACTGTGGTCAGGACATGGGAAAGATTTTGGCTTTACATGTTTTCACTGGAAAATGTGTCTACTTTTGCTCATTCAGATGGAGAAAAGGTTTTTGTTCTCCTTCATGTACTGCCAGTGGAAGAGGAAACAGCCTGTATTTCCATTGCTATTTCTCCATTGCCATGGGAACAGATTTGAAGTGCTGCATCCATTAAGTCACTTAATTGAAAAATGGCACAGTTTATCCATTCAAACTGCACTTTTGCAACTGTTCTGTGTAGGTCTATGTGTCACAATGTAGTTTTTGAGCTAGCTTTGTCCCAAAAGAAATATAGCTGCATTAACTGCAGTTGGGTACAATGGTTTGGGTTGGGTTAAATAGGATAAGGCAGGGCATCGTGCCGACATAGATGCACTGCCAATTTAGGCTTATGTGAGGTGATTCAGAGGTAGTGCAGGTATATACACTGATATAATGTGACACAATACAACACTGCTTTTCATTACACAGAACTTTCTTAAGACTTCTCATAACACTTTGCATTCAGTTACTATTTACTGGTGAAAAATGTTAATGTTCTACCTATTTTTTCATTCATTTTGATATTGGTTTCTGTTTCTGAAATGCTAAATCAGACTTTGTATTTCTAGAGTAAAGCTTTCAAATGTAATTCTTCTGTAGTAAAGTAATTACTGCTTGTTAAGCATGGCGGAGTCAGGAGAGAGTGAGACACAAAATGAGGAAAATGAGGCCTCCTGAAGAAACTGCAGTGCTTGTATTCTTGACTGCACAATACTTAATTGCTGAAGAATTTCTAAGCATATGTTAGTATGATAAAATCTATCAGAACTGTATGAATTTATGTATTCTTACCTAGTAACATTTCTTATTTTTCCTTTTCCATTTTAAAACCTACCTCAAGAGTGAAGAATAGAGGAGTAATCTTTGAGTACATTCATATTTCAAATGAGACCCAGTTGCTAGCCTTTTAACCTCACCTGCAGGAAGTGCTGGTACAAGCATTTTTTATGAGGAATAGCATTACTCTTTTGGGTTCTCCATTCGAACAGACACAGAATGTAGAATATTGACTATAGAAGTTTACAAAGGGAGTTGTAAGTACATGATAAACGCTGTTAGCATTCTCCTGCTTTGTGTTGTTTTTCATACTTGGTGCTGTAGGTGCTTCAAATAAGATTGTTGGCTGGGTTCAAAAGGGCAGTGAATCTGCAACTGTGTCGGAGAAGATGGGCTGTTAGCAAATTGTACTCGGGTCACCAAAGGAGTAAGGGGAGGAAGGAAGGAGGAGGAGGAAAAAAAGCAGAATTTTCTTCATTTTTTTCTATTTATTTTTTCCATGTTGTGATTACTACTGACAGCTCCCTCTTCAGTACTGCAAGCCTTTCCCTAGCAGTCAGTAAAATGTTATCTCTCTTTATCTCTTGGACAAATATGTGTAGGCTAATTTCCAGATATCTGCCAATGATAAATAATTTAAAACTTTGCAGGGAATTTATGACATTTAAGAGACTATTTAAGCATTTACTTGACTTATTTATGAAGAGGGAGCTGGGTACAAGCGAGAAGTCACTTGGTAGTAGTTGAGTATTGGAAAAAAATTGAGGGAAGTTCATAATGATCCTAGAAGGAAAGAACTTAAAAAAAAGACAAATCCTGAAATGTGGTTGAAATACTTTTACAGTCCCTATAGGTCTGTGGTAGAAATCACTCATCAAATAGATTCTAGAGAATGTAGTGCGTTTCAAAGTGCAAGGAAGGGAATGGTTAAGTCTGAGCTTTGACCTTTTAACAACATGCAGATTAGAGTGATGTGATGCACAGTGCAAATCTCTTCATCAGGCTTTCTGCAGTGGATTCTGTGTGAGGAGAATTATATTTGATAGCCAATGAACTGCTTTTCCTCTGGAATCTACTTGAATTGAGCTGATCCACATGGTATATTTATCAGTAGCAAGAGAGCAAGCAGATTTTTTTTTGAGAAATGTCTCCAAAAAGTTTTTATGGATTTGTGTGAGTCATGTTATGCTTACTTGGTGAGATGAGTTCTGAAAATTTTGCTTGAAAAAGGTATATATAATCAGGGGGTACTATGGATATATTAGGAATAAGGAAAAAAGAAAAAGCAGCAAAAGAGAGGAGGTAAAAGGTAAAGCAAGCAGGACTGGAGTGGTCAATGCCTTTTTGTTTCATTCTTCAGCAAACAGTCAATTGTGGTCACATGCTTAATGAAATTAATAACAGGGTAGGTGTGCAGACCTATGTAAGGAAAGATTAAGTTTTGAATTTTCTAGTTAAAGGGTCCAGTGAACATCAGGCTTGATCTATAGAGTACCTAAGAAGTTTGCTGGAGTGGTTTCTCAACTGTCAGTGCATATCTGTAAGATTTCATTAATTATATCCCAAGAAAGAGAATAAAAATGAGCACAGCAATTACCTTTACAGTGAAAAATGTGGAAGACCTAGTGGATACTAGAGCAGTCTGATCAAATACTGATTCCTTATGGATTCTAGGATAAGACAATCAAGACTTTTATCTTTACAAATAATATAATTATGGTAGAATAACTGAACTACTGACAGGGTGGAAGCAGTATCTTTGATATATCTGAGAGTTTTTAGGTACTTTTTAGGCAAAGATGTTTTTGACAGTCCCAAAAGCCATTTCTCATAAGCCAGTTAGGTAAGGTGCCCTAGAGACCATTGCCATAACAAAACAGATTTTTCAAACAACCTTAAAGCCAACTGTTCACCTGTCTGAGTGGTGAGCAGTGGCTTAGTATGGAACTGGAAGGCTTCTGGAGTTGGGGCAGATCAGATCTGATGTATACTCAGTTCTGGTCAGCATTTTCCTTTAATAAGTTAGATAATGAAGCAGCAGATGCAGTTACAAAATTTGTTATGACTTAGAATGAAGAAGAGGGGCATGGAACATTCTGAAGGATGACATCAGAACAGGGGTTAAACTGGAAGTATAGTTCTGGTTTTGGAAATTAAATACATTACGTACCACAAGGCTTTGGCTACTCAGCTGTATGCCAACTACATGATGAAGTTATAAAAAGGCAAATGCAATTCCAGAATGTTGTAGGCGGAGTGTCAGATGTAATTACTCTGCTCACCTCAGCGTTGGTGAAAGCTCAGCTGGAATCCTGCCTTGAGCTCGGAGCGCCACACTTTCAGAGTTAGCAAGAGCTGAGGGGAGAGTAATGAGAACAGCAGGTGGTTTAGAAGATGCAAGATTGGAGATAAATGATTATTTGATCTCCCTCAAAGAAAAACGGAATCACTGGAGTTGAAACAAAGATTTGCACAGGATTTGAGGTTTCTAATTGGATTTCTAATTGCTGTCTGAGGTGAGAGGCATTTTTAGGCAGAAGCAAGGTGGTGGAAGCGTAGCCACAGCCTCAATGTAGAAATGCTAAACCCCTCATGGAGTAATTTTCAACATGCTTTTGAGAAAATTACAATTGGTAGTTTGTCCAAATGCAGTAAGCTCAAGTTTCTGCAGCCCAGAGTCTGCTTTGTAAGTCATCCTGCAGTGTGGCTGGGACAATCAGTTTGAAGGGCCTCACCTCACGCTTCCTGCCTCTGAGTGTAAGCCACGTGGAATGAGGCCTCCAGTGTTGGAATAGGATTATTTTGGTGTTATCCATGATATTCATGAATTATTATTCAAAGCTATTCTGTTCTTTTATTGTTTTTCCCCAAAGCATTCTCAATTTTTTAGAATGCTATCTGACTCCATTAATACCTTTTGTTCCTCCAAAATTTTCAAGCTTTTTTGCTTGCTCTGGTTTTGCTGGCCATGCCACTGGCCTTTTATTGCTGTTCAATTTCTTGCAACCACAGGGCTTTCTCATGGTGCTAGTGCAAAGGGTGTTGGGAAGACCGGAGCTGTTTTATCACAAATGATGACAAATAATTGCTTAGACCTTCTAAGTCAACCACTTACATGCTGAAACAAAGTATGAGATAGGTCAATTTAATTGCCTCTTTGGTGGAACTTTTAAATGACACAAGGCCTGCGCAACTTCCCTTGGGAAGATATAGTTATGTCTTTATTTCTTCCCATTCAAAGATCCTAGGCTTTACTCAGGAGAGGTTTTTTCACCTAAATCATTCTGTACAGTGTAAAACAGATGTCCTTTTACTGTTTGTATGAAACATATAGGACTCATAATATCTACACTTAGACAGTACTTAAATTCAAATTTATGTATTTAAACTGAGAAAGGACCTTGAAAGTATTTCTGTTACATCCATATTTTAGTCTCACTTACCTATCCCTCTAGGCTAGGTAGGCTGTTACTGTTATCTCAAGAGTTGCCATGGAAATGTTTAACACTCTCCTTCCTTTTCGGTCTGTTTATGTCAGACAGTGTCTGTCTTTTTAAAACTGTGGCCCTGCTAAAATGGAAGTAAAATGCTAATAATAAAATACTGAGACATACCTCACCAGGTGATATTGAACAATAAATTTGCTGAAATCAGTGAAGCAGTGTTAAATGACAAAGTGAGAACCTGTCCCTGGATTTTCAAGCCTTCCTCTCTTCTTTTTCTCCAAAATTAAACTGCTTTGAGGTCAAAGTCAGGTATTTGTATGGGAGAAGTTTTTTTGAGCCATGAAAGGGCTCTTGTCAGCTGTTGTGGATACATATTCTTCATCCAGTTGCTGTTCCTGGGTAATGGCAATGGTGTATGCAAACATAACTGACAGAAGAGTTAACGATTTTAAATTTTGAAGAGTTTTCAATGAAGTCTTAAAAAGGAAGATATTCCACTTGAATAGCATTTATGTACTAGCATATGTGCATGAACTCCACAGGGCAACCAGCTATGAAGGTCACTCACTAAATTGAAAAAATGCGTCAGAAATGTGGGCTTACAATTTGTAGACATCAAAGCGGTCATACAGAGCAAAACACATTGAGGTGGAAGTGGCTTGTCTCATCCTTAAAGCTCAAATTTCAGTAGGGAAATGGGAGCTAAAATGAAAGAATCAAGAAAGCCTGTATTCATGCAATCTTTTATTTTGGAGGGAAACATTTATCAGCATCTGATGAAAGAGGCTCAGAAATACCACAACAAAAGGTTAGGATTATATGTTTGAAAAGTGAACACCTAACTTGAAGGACTATTTGACAGAAAGGAACTGTAGTCAAGGTAACCAAACCAAAAATGACAGCCATTAGCTCAGTCTGTCCCCGGCCTCAGGAGGGCAGTTGCCTTGTGTTTTTTGATCTGGCAGTGGTGGCCCTGTTTGTTTCAAATGTATGTAATAACAGCAGGTACTGTATCAGCATGACTCTTAAATAGTATTCTATGCAGCCACTACATGGCTTAACAGAAAGTAGAGACATCACAAGCAGCCTCAACTAAATTCCCTCTTATTTCAGAAATAATTTTCTAGCACACTTAAAGATGGGTGGTTGATACAAATACATGCTCAAAGCACAAAACATGGTCTAGAGAGTGTGTAGAACAAATCTGAAGCAAGAGTAGGGGGCAGAGCTGAAGGTCAGAAGGACTGATGAACTTCATGAAATAGGGGTTGTTGGCATAGACATAGGGCAGATGCCTTCAAGAGTCACCAGTTAGCACTGGGATAGCATTAAGGAAAGAATATGAATTGGCAGAGTTGAATGAGATAGATTTATTGATAGATCTGAAAGGGACATAGGACTTCTAGGGTTCTCGGGTTGTGGCATGCATTGCTGCAGGGGCAGGGATGGCATCTGGTCTGATTTTAGGGCTGTTTCTTGTTTTTCTGGACCACAGGTTTAGATTTGGGTTAGAAAGAATTACTGAGGTAGGTAAAGGGAAAGCTTGGACTGCGTTTGGGGTTGGAGCTAGGGACGTTCCTATGTTCAGAAAGGCTGTTAGTCTGAGTTACAAATCTTTAGCTTGGGCAGTCTTTTATGTGGACATTTTTTCCTGCAGACTATATCATGGCATTTTGAGAGAGACTTAAATTCAACTGATCATTCATGTCTTTCAGGTGCCATGTCATGATGTTGGAAAAAAGGATATAAAAGGCATCTCTGCCATTACGTAATTGTTTTTATTTCCTTTATGAATCCTTTACTTGCAATGTGACTGCATGAACAACATGGCTGCATGAACATCTGAGCTGTCCTGAGATCTGTTGATTTCAGCTTGAGCATCTCCAGTTGTATAGCTACAGCTGACTTAATTTCTATAACATTCATCCTGCCATACCAAATCATGTAGTGAGAGTGCATTAAAATAGCACTCTGGTAAAGGCTATTCCCACACTCCATACGTAGTAATGAATTAAACATCTGTTGGATTTCAGCAGGTTTAGAGTTGTGTTTGGGTTAACACAATTTTTAAGGCAAGATGATACAAGTTTTGAGGCCATGCTGTGTATTCCTATAAAAGAGGGAATAAAAAATTACTAGTGCAATTTAAGCTTGTCAAAATAATTACAATAATGATAAAAAATATGAGAAATTATCTGCTTATGCATAATATAAATTACAAAAATAGGTAAGAAAATAAGCAAATGTGAGAATTTTGGAAGTTAATACTCTAAAAAAAAATCAGGGGATCTATCATTAAAGGAGGTTTCTTTCATCTTCTTCTGACTATATCTATTCATTTAAACCTGTAATACAGTATACAAACTTCTTTGTATGATTTAGTTTATCTCAAGATTTTACTGCCCTGTCATAAAGCTTGTCACAGGATAAAAGTTTTCTTTTATTTCTCTTTCTGTGAAGCCTGCCAAGTTCTGTATAAGCTGTCACTCACTGTATCAGACTCAGTGGATGAATAGAAGTTTGTTCTCAATGAAGTTGTCCCACATTTCTCAGGGTCTTTTTTTTTTCAGAGCAGTTACAGTCTATCCTATCTTCCTAAAACCCCTACACAGAGCTTTTGAGTCAGAAATGATATCTCTGCAGTGCACCAAAACATCATGCAATGGACCTGAGAAACTAGCAAGAACATGTCACTTAATAGGTATTTCTAGCAGTGGCTTCATTTTGATGTCTTTTATAAACATAATTTACAATCAAAAGATATGGTATGTTAATGGCTGAATACGGAAAAACTGATAAACCATTTTAAACTGTCAATATGAAATGATAGGATTGCTACTAAGAGTGCTATCTCTTCAACCCAAGACAAAAGCAAGAGCTAAGAAGTCAGTAATAGTTTCTAATTCCTGGCATCCTAACATCACTTCTGTGGTTACTCTTATAATACGCATGTGAAACCTGACACAGAGGCATACCCCTCCACCTACAAAAGCCTAAATAGGCTAAACCTTTCTGAAGCTTTCCTGACATCTGTGTCTTGTCTGAATTGGGTATTTTGGTATGATTCATTCTGTTTTCGTGTGGATCATAATAATTTTTAGTGCTGTAAATCAACTACTCTTAGCTGAATTTTTGGGGGTTGACCTTGACTTTGTGTCAGCATCAAAAGCTAAAATTCTGGCCATTCGGAAGTTAAAGGGGAGGTTTGGCACTGTCCTTCTCTCATTACACTTAAATGGCATGAGGCACAGCCAGATCTCAGTGAAAAAGGTTTAGTTCTGCTGGAGTTTAGTAGCAGATTTTCAAATTGAGAAGGACGATAATGTTTCAGCTATGAGGGTTCCCTATTTGTTTCCTCTACAAGGAAAGACATGAGTCTATGATGCTATGCATATGCTGCTGTATGCATACACACAGACAGCTTTAGCACCTGTGTAAATTGTTAGTAAGGTCCCTGGGAGCTGAGATAATTCTTGTACCCTGAATGAGAAAACTGAAGAGCATAGAGCATTCATTAGCAAGTACTGCAGCAGACTGCAGAAATTCACTTGATGATTAAAGGACATACTAAATAAGCAAATGTTTATTTCTGCAGTTGCAGTGCGAAACTGTAATCCCTGCTCTCAAGGGCATGCCACACTGAGCTACAGAAAACTACAGCAACATTTGCAGAGAGTTTCACTTGTCGTGGTCAACTTTGAACGAATGTTCTCAACAGAATTAACCTAGTTAAACAAACAAACAAACAATCCCCAAACTATAAAACCAAATAGCCAAAAGTAACATTTTGCACACTTTTCTGAACAACAAAAAATCTCACTGTGCAGATAAATGGCTTTTTCTACTTTCGGTTTTAAATTCTTCAATGTCTTTTCTCTCTGGATTCCTAGTGGAGGAGTTATTGGACAATTCATCATTGTTTCTGCATTATTTCCCTTGTGAAAATCAAATGCCTGGTCAGGGCCATAAACCAGAAGTGTCTTATTTTTAAAACCACCAGACATTTGCTTGGGAACGAGAACTGGAAATCAGCTGGAGAGAGATCCCAATTCAGTCCTCAGCCCTACAGACCTTCAGTGAGGTGCACAAAGGAATATATGGGGAACAGACCTGCAAGGTATTTGAGCTGAACCGGGCGATTGGGCTTTTAAGGTGTCCAGGTTAGACTAAAACCCATGCCTTTAAACTCTCCTGTGTGAGGGAGAGGTCAGCCCATGTACATGAAGGCATATTAATTCTCTGAGCTCAGGGACTGGTGTTGCCCTGGCTTCCCCAAGTGGGAAATCTGGGCTTAGTGCAGCCAAGGTTGTTGCTGTGTTGGAGCTGGAGTTATTTTCTACACAGGGTTCTGTGGGTGTAACTGTGTACTGGTCTCTGTCTACAGAGAAAGTGCTTCTCATGCTCTGGATTTGGGTCCAGGGAGACCAGTGAAGACTAAGGAAAATAGATCTCTCTGATAATTTGATCTAAGGTAGTAAAAGTTTGTGAACTGAAAATGATGCAGACAAAATTCACTAAGAGATCTATAACCATATGTAGTAGCATTCTACTAAACTGAGAATGTGTTATGCATGGGG